TACCCCTCAAGGCCAGAATATGCTCCATGTGAAAGTTCAAAGTCAATTATCCATACAGAGAACAGCCGACAACGAACTTCAATCGAGATCTAAAAAGCATATACATGGAAGTAAGAATCTCAATTTGATCAATTGAAGCATTTTTAGAAGCAGTCAAATCCAGTGAAGTTGAATACGCGTGCAATTCCATTGAAGTGTTGTCAGAAGTCACGGAATAGGGTTAGAGTTAGGAACTAAGAACTACAGGACTACTTGGACCAAGATGTCAATGAATATGTAAACACCTCTGGCATCTCTCGTGATAGAGTCTGGGCAACAGATGCCGAGATCATGGCCACAGCGAATTCATGTGCATATCGCTCAACACGATTACTATCATGGGGGTATGATTTGGCCTAGAGGGACATAATTTGGCCGAGGCCATAATATACCCCAGAGTATAAATTGGCCTAGGCCATAATATACCCGGGTATAATCTAGCATAGGCCGTTTTAACCCCGGGTATACTACGGCCTGTGGGTATACTATGGCCTGTTACACCGGTGTAAATTTTACCTTGACAAAAAATGGTTGCTCGCTTACACAGGCGCATGTAGGGGCCGTCCATAGATGACGTCACGCACCTGGGGGGTGGTGGGGGTCAGACATTTGTGACGATGTTTGACGAAGGGGGGGGGGGGTGTTTGAAAAATGTGACGTCACATCAATATACGCAACTTTAAATAAATATCGACAACACGTTCTACTTAATTAAATAGACTTTTAAAATAAATGTTTTATCCTACAACATCAGAGTGCAGCGCCACATTAAATATGCACTACAATGACAATAGTTTAAAGCGATTTTAAGCATGTTTTATTTTTTTTGGGGGGGGAGGCGGGCAGAGCTTTGTGACGTCATATTTGCGGGGGGGGGGGGTCTGACATTTTGTGACGTCGTGTGACGAAGGGGGGGGGGGGGTGGTCAAATGTCCAAAATCGCGTGATGTCATTTATGGACGGCCCCGTACTGCATGCAATCTATTCTTCACGATAATTACAAGGCTTGGTGCGGTACTTATGATTAAATGATCAAATGTATAGCAAGGCAATTGTACGTGGCACGTGATCTGTGACGGTAGATAGTGCGCCATGAACAGGCCTGTCGAGAGACACCTGGGCCTTGGGTACAAAATGGCGGTGCGGAGTCCCACATCTCTTCCCATCCCCCCATCACCATATTTAGCCTGGATAGTCAGCAGTCTTCAATTCAATATCACTCTTTCGAGAAATCCTATTAATTCTTGTATTTAGCATGCACACACTCAAACTTTTCCCATCATCGTGGATTTAACCATTAGCACCAAATTTATATCGCGAGATTCCTGCATGTAAAGTCCTCCAACTGCACTGCTCGCGATGACGCTGCCACCTTGGGTCACGTGCAGCCCTTTGCAGGTCCCAGGTCACGTGTTCTCAGCATCCGGTGGGGTTAGGTCACGCGATTTTTCCTACTTAATCTTAGTTTTATCTATTGTACTATACACCAAGGCCGTAATTATAATCAATATTGGGGGGGACATCCCCCCCCATATTCAAATATGCTCAAAATGTCCCCCCAATATTTTGCTATAAACAGTAATAATACTTGCTATGCTATGTAAATAGAAACAATTTGCTAAACCTTGGCCACAATATCTGGACTTGTCTTCATATAAATCAATGCATAGATTTATGTTTATATGATTGTCGTTACGGTTGTACTTTATGAATCCCTAATCTCTGCCATTACATACAATGAAACAAGAAAAGGTAAAAAAGTAAAAACAGAGCAATGTAATACAATACACTATGAGACATTATTGTAAAAAAAATACATAAAAAGTCCATGCCATGTGTTGGTGAATTATTCAATATTTTAGGCAGGAAATGGCAAGAAATTAGTTTTCAAATGTAGATATTTTTCTGGGTTGGGACCCCAAGACACCCTGGAAGTTTGGTCTCCCCCCAGTGTTGACTCCATGGCTACGGCCTTGCTGTACACGTTATACTTAACTATACAGACATTCATATTCTACATGTATTACTTCCTTGTCTACAACATCAGCTAGTTGCTCTTAAACTAATCCTAAATCCTGCAAAAACCAAGGTGCTATGCTTCTCACCAGGACCAAAGCGGGAAGTTATTTGCCCACAATTACATTCCTTAAATAATGATCAAATAGAGCAAGTCAAGATCTATACGTATATTGGGGTCATCCTGGATTCAAAACTGAATTTTAAAGATCACATTGATTATATTGGGAAAAAGACAAAAATGTAAATTGGTTTTCTATATCGACACAAGCACTGCTTCCCCCCTATGTTCCGTTTTTAATTGATAAAAGCTACCAAACTGCCTCTACTTGATTACTGTGACATCGTGTATAAATCAGCCCCAAGTACTGTACTGAAGAAGCTTGACTCAATGTGCCACTCGGCCTTAAGATTTGCATTGAACTGCCTATATAAGACTCACCGCTGTGATCTCTACATTGGGTCAAACTTAACATTTCTCAATGTTCGACGGCTTGTGCACCAGATCTTATTTATTCATGATGTACTTACTAAAAAACTCCGCAGATTACCTGCTGGATCTCCTCTCTGTTTCAAAGAACAAATTTGACCTAAGGTCTACACTCATTTACCAGCTTCACATTCCCTATTGCCGTACATATACTGGAGGAAGGGCCTTTGCTATTGATGCCTCCAGGGTCTGGAATGCTGTTGCCAATAAATTGAAACTTGAGTCACTACCTATGAGATCTTCACTCAAAACTGCTCTAGAGGAGTTGTACACCCCTAGCTGCCAGTGCTATTCAGTGGCCTAAAATACAATGTTTCGCTCCGGATGATCGCTATAAAGTATGACCTGTGTTTTGATTTAGTGTGCTGATTTTAAAGGTGCATTGAAAAATTATAATACTCCGATTGATGCTCCTGCTGTTGTGGAGTGACTCATGCAGCCAGCTATGGCTGCAGAGTTTGGTAATACATGTTGTTTATGCCATTTATTGTGAAAATTCCGTCACAGTTCTTATGATCACTGTTTAATTGCTTTCATGGCTTTATTTTGGTGATTTCGAAAAGTGTATTGGTTTCGCCATGTTTGTTTGTTGTAGTACAGGGTTAGACTGATGGCCTTAATCTAAGTTGTCTTATGGTTGTTGTTGGTTGTTTGACTTGCATCCCACTGGGATTTTTGCACACAGCGTTGGTGTACGGTGTTTTTTCTGCAATATTTTGCTGTCTTTAATTAGATTTTTTGTTTGCACTCAGTTGCGGTTGCACCCGATTCAAGAGCCGAATGGCTCACAGGGCTATACCTAATACATGAACTTGAACTTGTCCGTGTTTGGGTTTAAGGTAGGGTAACATAAAATATATAACCATATATATTTCCCACATGCCTTTGAGTTTGCGGATAACGGAATTTCTAATTGCAGCTAGTTTCAAGAACATAATCCACCGTCGATGGGCGAGGTTTGTGTGTGTTCATCAGATGCAACAATACACTCGTTTAAGCCTCCTCCACCCGAGACCGCTTCGTTCTTTACACTGACGCTCTCCCCCGCAGCAAAAAAAAAATCGACCGTGAAAATAGAAATCTCGCACGTCCGAGAAAGCTGTCACGCAAAGTGCTGCGAGCCACATCCGGGGTCTGGGCGGGGAAAGGCGAATCAGCGGGGTTGGCCAGAGGGCCCCCAGGACGGGAGGCCACTGCAGGTATGGGGCCGTCCATAAATGACGTCACGCACCTGGGGGGGGGGTCAGACATTTTTGACGATGTGTGACGACGTGGGGGGGGGGGGGGGGGGTTGATAAATGTGACGTCACATGAAAATGCGCAACTTTAAATAAATATAGACAACACGTTCCACTTAATTAAATTTGATAAATGTTTCTCCTACAACATCAGAGTGCAGCGCCACATTAAATACGCACCACAATGACAATAGTTTAAAGCGATTTGAAGCATGTTTTATTTTCAAAATGGAAATATGGTTTTGGGGAGGGGGGGGGCAGAGCTTTGTGACGTCATATTTGAGGGGGGATCTGACTTTTTGTGACGCCGTGTGACGAGGGGGGGGGGGGGGGGTCAAAAATCTTACAAAATCGCGTGACGTCATTTATGGACGGTCCCTTAGCCGCGCTGCTACAGACCCGCTATGGGTGGCTATTGGTGGCTATTGGTGGCCGGCTCTGCATCCACAAAACTTTAAGTTGATTCCGTCTGAACATAGCCGATGCCACCATCTGGCCAATATTCCATTCATGTCACTCACCACCTTCACCGCCTCGCTTGGGGATATTCCTTGACAAGTCTCGTTCAGTGTGCGGAATAGGTCCTGGTGGGAGGTGGGGGGAGGTGGGGGGAGGTGGGGAGAGGTGGGGGGGATGTGGGTAGAGGTGGGGGGGTGAGGGGGGGTGAGGGGGGGTGGGGGGAGGTGGGGAGAGGAGGTGGGGGTGGGGGGAGGTGGGGGGGAGGTGAGGGGGGAGGTGGGGGGGGGAGGTGGGGGGGGGAGGTGGGGGGGGAGGTGGGGGGGAGGTGGGGGAGGTGGGGGAGGTGGGGGGAGGTGGGGGGGGAGTTGAGGTGGGGGGGTGGGATGTGGGGAGAGGTGGGGGGGGGGAGGTGGGGGGGATGTGGGGTGAGGTGGGGGGGGGAGGTGGGGGGGATGTGGGGTGAGGTGGGGGGGTGAGGGGGGGTGGGGGGAGGTGGGGAGAGGAGGTGGGGGTGGGGAGAGGTGGGGGAGGTGGGGGGGGGGTGAGGGGGGAGGTGGGGGGGGTGGGGGGGGTGGGGGGGGAGTTGAGGTGGGGGGGAGGTGGGGGAATATGGGGAGAGGTGGGGGGGGGTTGTGGGGGGGGTTGTGGGGGGGGTTGTGGGGGGGGTTGTGGGGGGGGTTGTGGGGGGGGTTGTGGGGGTGGGTCGATGTTCGTCAGATCGCGCCCCCGTGTGGCCTCTCGCCGCGATCGCCCCCGGACTTGTGAACGTCGCTCCCCCGCCTCGGCCTACGCGGCCCCGGCGCGCCTTGAGATCGTCAGCTCTGAAGGGAGACGGTGTCCACCTCTGCTCGTCCTCCTCCTCCTCGGCGTCGTCGGTGTCGTGGTCGTCGACCTCTCGGCCGCGGGTGAGGAGGCGATGGCCATCGTGGCGGAGGGCGACGGCGTGGACAGAGCCGTGCGGGTGGTGGGGGCCGAGGCGGTCGACTCGTACACGGTGAGGGAGACAGCAGCAGCAACAACATCAGCAGCAGCAACATCATCAGCAGCAACATCATCAACAGCAGCAACATCAGCAACACCAACAACATCAGCAACACCAACAACATCAGCAACATCATCATAAGCAACATCATCAGCAACAACATCAGCAGCAACAACATCACAAGCAACATCATCAGCAACAACAACATAATCAGCAGCAGCATCATCATCATCAACATCATCAGCAGCATCATCAGCAGCAGCAGCATCATCAGCATTAGAAACATCAGCAGCAGCATCAGCAGCAACATCATCATCAACAGCAACATCATCAGCAGCAACATCATCAGCATCAACAGCAACATCATCAGCAGCAGCAGAAACATCATCAGCAGCAGCAGAAACAACATCGGCAACATCATCAGCATCATTAGCAGCAACAACATCATCATCACAAGCAACATCAGCAGCAAAAACATCATCAACAGCAGCAACATCACCAGAAGCTATAACCTCATCATCAGCAGCAACATCATCACAAGCAACATCAGCAGCAACAGCAACAACATCATCAGCAGCAACAACATCATCAGCAGTTATAACCTCATCAGCACCAGAATCAACATCACAAGCAGAATCATTGTCATCAGCAGAATCATCAGCAGCACTAGTGTCATCAGCAGCAGCAGAATCCTCGCTTTCACACAGCCACTCACATTAAACTCGTTACCACAGCTGTCATTGTCATCATCAACACATGTACCATCACCACCAGCACCACCACTACCATCACCACTTCACCACTACCACCACCACCATCATCATCACATCTTCACCACTACCATCACCACCACCACCATCACCACCATCACCACTACCATCACCACTTTACCACTACCACCACCACCATAGCCACCATCACCACAACCATCGCCACGACCACCATGGACAATCACCACCACGTTGGTCACCACCACCACCACACAGCAACCACGAACACCTCCACACGATCTCCCTTGTCACCACAACCACTGTCACCATCCACATTAATATATCTCCACTACAGCCAGTACCACCACCACCACCACCACGTGTGTGTGTGTTAAATCAGTGTCGCAGTGTAGGTTCCGGTGTCATTCTTGTACGTGTGGTGGTAGTGTTGTTGTTGTTAATTGCCGTCGAATTTCCTCATCTGCAAGAGAAACCAAAGGCCGAGCAGAGCCTACGCTCTTGCCTGGAATTCTGCCGCGTCAGGTGCGAGGGCCCCCCGCCAGAGCCTCGTGACACGCGGGGGGGGGGGGGGTGTTTATGGTTTTGTTTACAATGATAATCTACTTATTAAACCGCAGTACCTGGAGATAAATCCACGCGACCACGGGGAGAGAGACACGCAAACTCCAAATATACAGCAGCAGGTGTCAGGGTTGGGATCGAACCTTGGATCTCCTGTAGACCAGGCGAGGTAGTTGACATCTCCTAGCCACCGTGATGATGATGATGAGAGAGAGACACGCAAACTCCAAATATACAGCAGCAGGCGTCGGGGTTGGGATCGAACTTTGGATCTCCTGTATACCAGGCGAGGTAGTTAACATCTCCTAGCCACCGTGATGATGATGATGAGAGAGAGAGACACGCAAACTCCACATACACAGCAGCAGGCATCAGGGTCAGGATTTAACCCACGACCTCCTGGAGACCAGGCGAGGTAGTTAACATCTCCTAGCCACCGTGATGATGATGAGAGACAGAGACACGCAAACTTCAAATATACAGCAGCAGGCGTCGGGGTTGGGATCAAACGCACGACCTCCTGTACACCAGGTTAACATCTCGCTAAGTGGGATAGCACAGGAACAGCTGCACAGACGGGCTCAGAAACCCAGTTGCTGTACTGCTTCCTCGCCACCTCACAGCCCAGCGACTTTTGGAGTTTCACAAGTCTCTGCGTGAACCACCAACCCTTGCCATTCAAAGTAACGGGCATCGTGTACCACCGCTTGGTAGTCGTGGCTCGGCACAGCTGCAAGCCAACCCTGGAGGCAGTGAGGGTTGCCGGATCACGCGAATGTTGCGAAACTCCCTTCCCGTGAGCGTACAGGCGACATGCACTGTTCAAGTTCAAGTTCATTTATTAGACCATCATTGGAACCTCATTTGCCAGTAAAAAATATGATAATTGTTTTTTTACCCTTCTATCTGGCAACAAAACTGACACCTTTTTTACAAGGAGTCATGTTTACATAGACCACAATACCTGCAGTCATAATGCAAACAAAAAATATAACTCTGATAATGTGCACTGTCCTTGAAGTTAATTGGTCCACACCCGAGACAGCTTTCCTTAGAGCCTAGTCTCACATGGGTTGGACCAGATGAAGGAAAGCTGTCTCGGATGTGGACCAATCAACTTCGAGGAAAGTGCACATTATCAGAGTTATGTTTTTTGTTTGCATTATGACTGCAGGTATTGTGGTCTATGTAAACATGACTCCTTGTAAAAAAAAGATGTCAGTTTTGTTGTCAGATAGAAGGGTAAAAAACAATTATCATTTTCATTTATTAGGTATAGCCCTGTGAGCCATTCGGCTCATGAATCGGGTGCAACCGCAACAAACAAAAAACAAAAACACAAACAAAAAACATCTTAAAGTGAATGTGACTATCTGCAAACAGAAAATCCAAGAAAAGACAGCAAAATATTTCAGAAAAAACACGTACACCAACACTGTGTGCAAAAATCCCAGTGGGATGCAAGTCAAACAACCAACAACAACCACAAGACAACTTAGATTAAGGCCATCAGTCTAACTCTGTACTACAACAAACAAACATGGCCAAACCAATACTGGCTTGCCAGGAGAAGGTGGTATAGAAATTGTGGACTAATCGCCATCTGTTCCATCTGTATGGGATAGCGTTGCCCCCTTCCTGCGTGTGGGTTTTCTTTGGGTGCTCTGCTTCCCCCACGTACATAAACCCTCATTAATTGGCTGAAAACATCTTAGTTCGTTGGCATCTCTCTGTGTTGTGGATCGTGCAGGGTTGTGAGACGCGGTTTGCATGAACCATGATATTTAACGAGACAATTTTACAAGACATCCTCATTCAATCAGGAGACCCCGTGTAGAGCAAGCAACCTGGTACATTGGCAGCATTCCTAATGTGCACTTTGTACCCTTTCCCGTTGCAATGACATACGTGTACGATTCCAAAACGGAACCGGAATAAAGAGTTAAATAACTTTACCGGTACTAAGGCTCCCACAAGGCCGTGCGGGAGGGCATGTGGCAGAGGTTGGCGCCAGCTATCGCAGAGTGCGGTCGTGTCGCTACAGTTCTCTGCGGTGAAAACAACGTTTTTAAAAACAACGGCGCTACGCCTCTCTTAATAAAAACGTTCCTTCGGAGTGGGCAGGTAGGAACTTGGTTGGACAGCGCATTCGTGCACGACAGACAAATATGCACGACAGACAGACAAATAATCCCTGGTGGGCAGTGTGGAACCTGTTGTTCCTACCTGTATTAATATTGAGCCGCTTGCGTGCTGCGAGATTCGGCGGTGGACGGGACACCCACCCTGCAACTTGCAGCCGCCCAAAAGAAGAGCCTCTCGTTTTCAATTTACCCAAGAAGCAATGTTCTGTGCTGAACCGAATCGGATGCGGCTACCTCCTGCACCGATGGAAAGTTATAATCGCCCGCAGTGCGACTGCGGTCACCAATCTCGAACCACGGGACCACATAGTAACGCCACTGCCTATGGGTCTCTATGAGTCGTCAGGTCTCTGTGTCGGAAGTTTATGAATATCACACGTGATTCTATGGACGTCTATGGGAGTCCGTGGATCTCATTGTCAGTCTATGTGAGTCTATACCTGAAACCATGGACCACATTGTGAAATCACTCTCAATTTCAATCATTCGCAGGCAAAAATTAAGATAGTATCAGGTAGTGAATGTTAATGTCTCACAGTTTGAAGAAAGAAGTCCTAAGTCCGCAGAACTCACTCTCTTGGCTTGGACAGTAAACCATATCAATCATATGCTAAATTCCTCTTGATATGCAAATTATTTTGTCAAGGCGCTCTTCCCCCTTCAACCCAGCTTAAATATACGCTGCCAAGCCTGTTGGTGTTCATTCAGACGCTGTCTTTCCGACAGACCTGTTCTTCACCTGAGGACGGCTGCTTGCGTTGTGGCCGAAACGTCGTGAGAATTATTTTCTTATGTTTTATTTTTATTATTTTATTATTTCCCTTCTACGTGACTTTACCGAAAGAACCAAGAAGATATCAATCATTGCCAGGCTTAGTGTCTGGGCTTGACTCGTTAGATATAAACGTGGGGTCAGAATTCACAAGTTCGCCTTTTCTTTCACTGTCATCATTTTTCCGTCACTGTGTTTGCAGAGAAGTGCTCACTTGACTGAGCGTCAAGTCAACCTTACAGGGCAACGGAGGTGGTCGTGTGCACAGGAATGGACAGTGGCGTGTCTGAGTGCCGGCTAATGTTTGACTCCTCTCGCTGATGTTAATGATTGTCAATCCATTGCCGTCCGATGTTTTCCCCATGCCAGTCATGGGGTTGTTCGACCATGCTTGACCATACTGGTCAGTGCGGATTGGTGGTGGGGAGCATAGAAGTGCAGTGCAATAATGGGAGTGCCGTATTTATGGTGGGCTCCCGAACAAGCACCGTCCAGGTTTAAACCCCCCTGCTTAGCTTCTGAGACTGACTGAAGTGTGGGTCCATCCAGGGAGATTTGGTTCAAGTATGTGTGTATACATCTGGTATATCTATCTATTACCTATATATATGGGTGTGTGTAGATATGTGTCAAGTAGTGGTTGTGCAGTGGTTACCGCGCTGCGCTATAAACTCGGCGCCTCGAGTTCGATTCCCGCTCATGACCACCACCAGTGACGATTATCTGAACCAATCCTGGGCCTCCCCGAGGTAAACTCAAGACACAAATGAGTACCTGGTGCGGCGTGTAAATGCCGCCATCTGGGGAGACAAAGGCGAACGGGCGCGGTGCTGGCCACCCACCCCCACGTGTGCCGTGCCGGCCTTCATAACTCACTAATGGCACTTGCCCCGAAAGTCTGTTAAGACTTCACAGGGCTGGGGATGATCTTCGTCTTTGTGTGTCTTGCCTCCAGGTTTACATCATAGAGGTGCGGGTCGGAAGACACCATTGGACCGTAAAACATCGCTACAGCGCCTTCCACGATCTCCACGAGCGAGTGAGTGTGCGCCTACCACTGTCCTGTCCCACAATGCCAGTGGTAAGAAGTTGTCGTCGTCATCATCATCATCATCGTAATCATCAGCCATGGTCTGTGCACTGCCAAATTAAGGCTTGCCGAGTCAGTCGTGGGGGCCGTTTGGCCTGTTTGGCCATCCTTCACCGCGGCTGGTGATTGCGGGTTCTTGAAAGTGGGGAGCATAGACGTGGAAGCATAGTACAGTGGAACAATGGATTTTTGCTGTTCTTTCTGTTTGTATGCATGGTGGTTCCCCCGCTCACCAGAACTGTGCAGGATCAACCCTACTTCACCATCATCATCATCATCAATCACGATCCATGGGCAGATAGCCCGTGCGTGTCAACCTTGCTTAGCTTCTGAGATGTGTTGAGATCCGGGTGCATTGTGGGTGATGCCGGGTGGACGAAGGTCGAACGACGGGTGGCAGCAGGACGGCGGCTTGGCTCTCGCGCGTTTGCCAAATTGCTACGGAGTGACCGCTCTGATAATTATCACAGTGGGTGCAGTGACGACATTCAGTTTTATTTCAGTTTCATTGATTTGGTATAGCCCTTTGAGCCATTCGGCTCTTGAATCGGGTGCAACCGCAACAAACAAAACAAAAACATGAGCAAAAAACATCTTGAAGTGACTATGTGCAAACAGAAAAATACAGGAAAAAACTGCAAAGTCTTCCAGAAAAAGCACCGTACACCAACACTGTGCAAAAATCCCAGTGGGATGCAAGTCAAACAACAACAACAACAATCACAAGACAACTTAGATTAAAGCCATTATTCTAACTCCGTACTACAACAAACAAACATGGCCAAACCAAAAAAGTTTTCGAAATCACCAAAATAAGGCTATAAGCAATGTAACAGTGATCTTAGGAACATTCATACGTGACGTCCGCTTCACGGTGGACTTTTAAAGATCCCACGACGTGATGGTTTTCCCTTTTATACAACATCTTAAGTAAGTTAGCCGGATGGAGGGCTGGGAGATGGGGACTGAGGATGAGGGGTGTAACACCCCACGGGTTATAACGGAGCCGGACTCGGAGGGGTTGAAGGAAAACTCGCTCGTCCGGGTCGCCTCCCGTGTTTTTTTAAAATCCTTTATATTAAGTTCACTTGCTTGCTTGCTTGCGTGCAAATCTTTCAGTCGTTTTTTAACTCACTTCCCGTGATCCAATCGAGCCGACATTTTGCACACAGACTCGTTGTGCGTGACAATTTATTTTCGTGAACATTTTTTTTCCAAAATTTTACACTTTTTAGGAAAAAAAAAATTATATTTAATTATCAATTGCTTAATTGTGGCAGGCAATCATCTGACCCATAGGTGGCAGCCATCTCAAGCCAGAGGACGAGAGGACTCTAGCCGCCACGCATATAAAGGATTTATAGTGAAAAACTTTGTTTTTACGGGTTAATTTTTTTATAACTAGCTTGACTACCCGGCTTCGCCCGAGACTTGGATTCTTGTCTTGTTTTAACACACGGCCTACGTGGAGGGTGGGGGGGATGCGTGACGTCAGCAGGCACACTGCTTGCCGCTGCCGCATGCGGGTGACGTCACAGATGTGACGTCACCGCTCACTTGCCGTGCAAAATATATCCATTATTGCGCCCCCCCCCCCAAAATACAAAAGTCTATTTTTAGACTTTTTGCATCGTGTACAGTCTGGAAACTACCCACATGCCAAATTTCAAGTTTTTTGCATGTTGGAAAGTATGACAAACATTTCGAACATACACACATTCACACATTTCCCTTTTATATATATAGATAGGCGCTGTTTCGATTATTTCCCTCCCTCCCCTTGTCAACCCCTCTCCCTTACAAAAAAATGTGGGGCCCCATCTGTTTTGGGGCAGGAGGTATGCTCCCCCCCATCTTTCCATCCCCCGCTGTTCATCACCGGTGTAGTTTATGCCGACGGTGTGCGGCGTGTGCGTGAGTCACATTGTGATGTAACGGGGCCTGCGCATCGCCTCGATGGAAAAAATTATAATTTAAAAAGATCCCGTGACGTAATTCGCAAGAGTCGGCTGACCTGTGCCAGCGTCACCGTGGGATATTATTTATATATTTATTTATATATTTATATAGCAGTCGCCTCCTACTGGCGACGCGCCTTGGCCCCCCAGTCTCTCTGAGTTCTGGCCTGGTTCAACAAAACGAAACTTTATACTCCCCGAGCAAGTTCCTCACCCTGGTTTACAAAACTTGCGCACCTTCTCGCCCCAACGTATCTCGCTTCACCTCGTTTCACTCTGCACTCCTCCTCGCCCTCTCCGTTCACAACCCGAGCTGCAGTCTTTCTCTCTCACCTCCCGTCCCCATCGCTAACTCCGTCCCTCTTCACAACTTCCCGACCAATCCGTCGCACTCACTCATCATTAACCACTCATTGTCACTCTCATCATCGTTGATTTCACGCATCGTCATATTCGTCACGCACGACCATCACCTCCCATGAACTCATCTCATCTCATCGCACTATTCCGCTGTGCAAATGAGCAATTAAGGCGCTACGTGAATTAAAATAACATAAGAGCTGCAAATCGCACAGTGCTTTCGCGGAAGAGTAGGCCAAAAATATCCACTCTGTGTGCCCTTCCAGCATCAGCAGCGGCTTGAGGAAGAGATTGCAGGGCTGCGCCTTTATCTTTGACCTCGTTGACCCCCCCCTCCCTCGGTCACCCTCAGCTGGTTCTGCAGAAGCAGGTGGAGCGTGCCCTGCTGCCGCCCAAGAGGATTCTGGGTAAGAACTCGCGAGCGCTGGTTGCTAGGCGACAGCGGGAGCTGGAGCAGTACCTGCAGGCCCTGCTGGAGGTGCGGAGGGGGCGACCTCTCCCCCCGGCACTCGCCACCTTCCTGCACTTCCACTTCTACGTGAGTGACCCCCCCCCTTCTCCGCCCCCTCACACCTCGTGTGCCGTGCCGGCCTTCATAGGTGCTGCACGCTAACAGCACTTGCCACAACGGTCTGTTAAGGCTACACGGGGGATCTTTGTCTTGCAGAGGTTCATGGTTATTTCTGTACATCTGTAATGGGGGGGGGGGGGGACGATAACTCGCGTCAAGTTAAACTGATGCATCTTGGGTATAAAGTTGTGTGGCGATTAGGGACTCGCCCCTTTGAAAACCGGCCACATTGATCAGCGGGCTGTCCAAAACTTGAAGAGATGAACCAGAGCTAAAAGAAGTACTGTTTTGCAAGTTGAGCGTGCCCTGCTCCAACCCAAGAGGATGCTGGGTAAGGACTTTAAGGGAGCTGGTCACTAGACGACGGCGGGTTTTGGCCCGACGACTTCCCGCCGGTTTCCGTGCCGCTAATAGAATACTTCCAAAGGCAAACGCTCGTTCGAGAGCGTTACGTGAGCCACGCTTAAATGTCGATTTAAAGCTTTCGTGACTGCAGGGATTCATCTTCTTGGTTCTTTTGGTAAAGTCACGTAGAAGGGAAATAATAAAATAATAAAAATAAAACATAATAAAATACAATTCTCACGACGTTTCAGCCACAACGCAAGCAGCCGTCCTCAGGTGAAGAACAGGTCTGTCGGAAAGACAGCGTCTGAATGAACAAGACCTGAATGAACAAGACCTGTTCTTTACCTGAGGACGGCTGCTTGCGTTGTGGCCGAAACGTCGTGAGAATTGTATTTTATTATGTTTCATTTTTATTATTTTATTATTTCCCTTCTACGTGACTGTACCGAAAGAACCAAGAAGATGAGCCAGGCTTGTGCGTGAATGCATCTTTCCTGATCGCCCTCAACCCTCACCCCCGGCACGGTTATCTCTGCAGGAGGTGAACGGGATCACGGCGAGTTTGGCGGAGGAGCTCTTCGCTACAGGTATCGGCAGCGCTCGCTCACGGCCAACACCGGTGGCGATTGTCTGAACTTGCTCCTGGGCCTCCCCTAGGTCAACTCGGCCTCAACTGAGTACCTGGTGCGGTGTGTAAGAACGTCGTCACTGGGAAGACAAAGGCGGCCGGACGTGATGCTGGCCTCGTGTGCCGTGCCGGCCTTCATAGGTACTTGCTAGCAGCACTTGCCCCAACAGCCTCCTAAGGCTATACGGGAGATCATTGTCTTTGTGTGAGCATCTAGTGCAGTGGGGAGCGGTGGTGCAGCGGTTAGCGCGCTGCGCTATGAACCCAGCGACCCGAGTTCAATTCCCGCTCACGGCCAACACCAGTGACGATTATCTGAATCAGGTTTAGGGCCTCCCCTAGGTCGACTCAGACTTAAATGAGTACCCGGTGCGGTGTGTAAACATCACCACTGGGGCGACAAAGGCGGCAGGGCGTGGCGCTGGCCACCCACCTCCGCGCGCGCCTCACTAACAGCACTTGCCCCTACAGTCTGTTGAGGCTACGCGGGGGATCTTTGTGTGGCAGGGGAGGAGGTGCTGGCGGGGGGAGAGGCGTTCAGCCTCACGCCGCTGCAGCTGCACGCCATCACGTGTCGCCTGCGCCTCTCCGAGCCCCACCTCGCCGCCACGGGCCCCCCAGAGCCCGCCGGGGGTCCTCCGTCCCTGCCGCTCGACGCTCGCCGGGACCTGGCGCACGTCTTGGACTTTGCGTGCCGACTCAAGTACCTCAAGGTGACTCATCGTGTTGTCGCAGAGGTTCGCGGTTTGAATCCGGCAGGCCGCGCTGGTTAATACTATTTTTTGTTTTTAAACAGGTAAGGCCCGCCAAGCTATGTAGCTCGTTTTCAGAAGCGACCTGTCCACAACTTAATGGCTTATTGCATAGAAACGTATAGCAGAGAAATACTCCAAACGTGTGATGTTGATTTCTAAATGCGGATGGAAAAAAAACGGAGGATCCTTGAGAAAAATCCACACGATCACTGGGAGAGAGACGTGCAAACTCCAAATATACAGGCGTCGGGGTTGGGATCGAACCCACGACCTTCTGTAAACCAGGCGAGGTAGTTAACATCTAAATGCATGTTGATTCTAAAGGGGAAAACCTGCAGTGTGTGTGTGCGTGCCACCCGCTTAACGGTGGTCGCTAAAGAACCTGTGACGTCATTCGAACGAGAGGATGCCAAGGTTGCGTGGCAGCGTCACGGTCCACCTTGGACCAAATTCGACAAACTACGCCGCAAATTTTACTTGGTTCAGAAACACGTGGCAATCATCGCGGCCTACTGGAAACAAAATGATCATTGCCCTCCCCATATCTCCTCTTCCAAGGGAGATCCTGAGGACAAACGCACGGCAGAAAGCGTTACAGAACGGATGCGAATGCATGATTTTTTATTTTTTTGATACGTGAACCCTGCCGCCCACAGATATGCGGTCGCCCAGACGGTGTTGGCAGCAGCAACATTGAGGAATGCCGGCTGCCCTTTGACCTGTCGCTCTTCCGTTCACTGCACCATGTAGAGGTGTGTGCACAGCGCCTAACCACTCCACAGCCCCACCACGAGCATGCCAACACACCCACCACGTTACCACACCTCTCACATACCAACACACCACACCAACACATCACCCCACTCACACACCGCTGCCTGCGCCGACACACCACCACACTGGCAAACCACCACATGACTGCATTACCACACCACCAGAGCATGCTCTTACTAGGCTGTGCCACTCGATTTGGGATGCGCCGATGTGGCGTGGTAACGGTGTGTATGCTGGCGTGTTTGTGTCCGCGATGGTGGACACCTCGTGTGTATTGTATATTTTGTGTGGTGGTGGTGGTGGTTTGTACACAGATCAACCACAGCGATGCCAAGCAGGTGCAGGGCCTCGCTAATCTCAAGCCTTCCTTGGCCACCCTGGCCATGCACCACTCCACCGACAACCTGCAGGTTCGCCTGGGGTGAGGGCGGCAAGGGTAAGGGGACAGTGCGAGAAGTTATGGCAGCGCCCGGAATGGGGGCGGCATTATGAATCTGTGGGCGGCACCAAGAAATGGGGGCGGCTCCGGGAATGGTACCAGGAATGTAATCCCGGTACACCAGAAGAAAAACTAAAATAACTTTACCGGTACCGAGGCTTCCACAAGGCCGCGCGGGAGGGCCTGTGGCACAGTTTTGGCTCCGGCTATCATAGAGTTCGGGGCGGTCGTGTCGCTGCAGTTTTCTGCGGTGAGTGCAACGTGTTTAAAAACAACGGTGCTACTGCACCTCTCAAAAATAGATTGAACGCTGAGCCTCTCACGCGTTCCGGGATTCAGCGGTGAACGAGACGCCCACCACCCCGCAACTTGCAGTACGTCTCGCGACGGGAAAGGGTGAACGTATGGAGCACAGCAGAGCTCGGCTCATCCCGTGGCTGCCTTCCCGCTCCCCTGTGGTCCCTCGGGCCTCCGTGTCGCCCCCTCCCTGCGAGGGCGAGTGACGATAGGAGAGAGCTCGCTGAAGCCTCCCATGAACCACGTGACTTGTGTGTGGCCAACCCCCTCCCCTCTCCCCGGCCCCTCTGAAAACAGACGCCGCTCCGCCTCCTCCTCTGTTGCAGCTCACTTTTATTTCCTCCTTCCTGCCCTCTCTCTTCCTCCCGCCTCCCCTCCGTCAGCGAACGCTGCGCGAGTTACAAATTAAAAATCGCCGCAAAAATAAAACAACACCCGTGTCAGAAGAGCGCGAGTTGTGATGTGTTGTGTTGTGGCCCCCCCCTCCACCCCACCGCAACGCACTGCCGCCCTTTAGGATGTGCTGGAGCCGGAGGGACTGGGGCCGGGCGAGTGGGTGGTGGAGGGCGAGGGCCCCGCAGAGGGGGAGCACTTGCTGAGCGTGCAGCTCCCCCCTTGGGGGTCCCTAACCACGCTGGACCTGTCCCACAACCGCATCTCCCGCATCGACGACACGGTGGTGAGCGGCGACCGCGGCTAGACGGTGCACGGCCACTCGCCCTGTCGCGTGTGCCCGCCGGGATTCTGTCGCACCGCACGTAGCCAACCGTGCCGCTCGTGCTCGCCGTCAAGCCGAGTCCCTTCCTCGTCGCTCTGCTAGCAACTGCTGCTCACGGTCGCCACAAATACTGCTACGTGCACGTTCGGGACGGGTTTCAAGTTGCGCTTTTGCAGATGAAAGGTATTCAGATGTCGGGGATATGAGCGGCAGGGTGGCGCAGTGGTTGTGCCTCACAGCGAGAAGGGCTTGGGTTCGATTGCAGACTTTCTGTATGGAGTTGGTATGTTCTCTCCCCTGTTCTGCAGGGGTTTCCTCCCATAGTTAGAAGAAAAAGAACGCACAGTGCAACTGGTATCAGCCAAACATCCCAATGCTGAAAAACAACTTACAGATTACTCAATTGGGGTCACACGCAGCAGCAGCAGCAACATCGCTCTCGACTGCAAACACCTGGAAGGACCCTCCTGAAAACGAGGGTTGAGACTCAGCCTTCCTGAGTAAACAAGCAGAACAACAATAACAACAATAACAACGACAACAACAGAGAGGACTGTGGGAGGAACGTGTCGATGACCCAGGACAGGAATACGTGTAGAGAGAGAGAGGGGGGGTGGAATCAGGAAGGAAGGCCCCACATGAACGGGAAGAATGCCAAGAGCGAGGAGATGATTTCGTTGTTAGGAGACTTTAGTCACCGTGGCTCAAGGGGTGTGGAATCAGTCGTGCAAAAAGGCAGCAGACAGCGGGTGGGGGAGGGGGGGGGGGGCAAGATGCGTGTGTGTACCTGGAACTTGGTTTGTACCGTACGTAGGCAGTCGTGCTACCCGGAGGTGCGATGAACGGAGAAGGGAAGGGATGCTGGGATGGAAGTCCCCCAAGGCGGGGCAGAGAGGAGGGCACAGCTGAAGATGAGCAGCAGTGAGGAAGACGGAGCTCTGGGCAGGAAGGGGAGGAGGGTGGGGGGAGGAGGGGGAGGAGGAGGAGGAGGGGGGAAGGAGAAGGAGAGGGGGAGGAGGAGGAGGGGTGAAGGAGGATGGGGGAAGGAGGAGGGGGGGGAGGAGGGGGGAGGAGGAGGAGGGGGGTAGGAGGAGGAGGGGGGGGGGAGGAGGAGGAGGGGGGGGGAGGAGGAGGAGGAGGGGGGAAGGAGGAGGAGAGAGGGGAGGAGGAGGAGGGGGGGAGGAGGAGTAGGGGGGGGAAGGAGGGGGGAAGGAGGGGGGAGATGGAATGACTGTGCTAAGCTGTCTTGGAGGGGAGCGTGTTGATGATGGAGGGGGGGAAGAGAGTGAGAGCATAGCAGGGAGGATGGCGCAGAAGTGAGCTGAAACGGAGGAGGAGGAGGAGCGGCATCTGGGGAGAAGGGGAGGGGGTGGCCACACACAAATCACGTGGTTTATGGGAGGCTTCAGCTCCCTCCGAATGTCACTTTGCATTATAGAGCTTTAGGTGTCCACTGAGGTTCACAGTGATGGGCTTTGTGACCACAAATGCGCTACTTTGTGTTGCAGAAACTGATCCCCAAAGTGGAATTTCTTGACCTGAGTCACAACGCCATCACGGAGATTGCGAATCTGCAGGTTTGACGCACACCGTCACACGCAGCGCCCTGCCCGCCCCGTCTCGCCTAGGTCGACTCAGCCTTAAAACGAGTACCCAATGCTGTGCGCAAACATCGGCACCGGGGAGACAAAGGCGGCCGGGCGTGGTGCTGGCCGCCCCCTCGGTGCGACATTCCGACGTTCATGTTCACTCGCTAAGAGGACTTGCACCAACACTCTGTTACAGGCTACATGGGGGACATGATTCCTTGCAAAAGGTTTCTATTTGGTGTTCAAACATCTTAACACCTCCTGTTGTATTGACAGAAAGGGTAAAAACCGATTCTTATGTGTTCATACTTTGTCATACTTTGATAATGACAAAACATTTCCCATTTTGGGATCTTGGTCTTTTGTTACAACTTTTTTTTTAACTCAGGATGTGTAACACGCACGGTTTGTATACACCCTTGGGGACGAGAGAGATTGACTCGGAGGGAATGATTCAGAGAGAGAGAGACAGAATGATTTAGAGGAAGAACGATTCAGAGAGAGAACGATTCAGAGAGAATGAATGATTCAGAGAGAGAACGATTCAGAGAGAGAACGATTCAGAGAGAGAACGATTCAGAGAGAGAACGATTCAGAGAGAGAACGATTCAGAGAGAATGAACGATTCAGAGAGAGAACGATTCAGAGAGAATGAACGATTCAGAGAGAGAACGATTCAGAGAGAGAACGATTCAGAGAGAGAACGATTCAGAGAGAGAACGATTCAGAGAGAGAACGATTCAGAGAGAGAACGATTCAGAGAGAAAGAATGATTCAGAGAAACAGAATGATTCAGAGAGAGAGAATGATTCAGAGAGAGAACGATTCAGAGAGAAATAATGATTCAGAGAGAGAGAATGATTCAGAGAGAGAACGATTCAGAGAGAAATAATGATTCAGAGAGAGAGAGACAGAATGATTTAGAGGAAGAACGATTCAGAGAGAGAACGATTCAGAGAGAATGAATGATTCAGAGAGAGAACGATTCAGAGAGAGAACGATTCAGAGAGAGAACGATTCAGAGAGAGAACGATTCAGAGAGAAAGAATGATTCAGAGAAACAGAATGATTCAGAGAGAGAGAATGATTCAGAGAGAGAGAGACAGAATGATTTAGAGGAAGAACGATTCAGAGAGAGAACGATTCAGAGAGAGAATGATTCAGAGAAAGAGAATGATTCAGAGAGAGAGAGTGATTCAGGGAGAGAGTGATGCAGACAGAAATAATGATTCAGAGAGAGAGACAGAATGATTTAGAGACAGAATGATTTAGAGAGAGAACGATTCAGAGAGAGAGAACGATTCAGAGAGAATGAATGATTCAGAGAGGGGGAGACAGAATGATTTAGAGAGCGAGTGACAGAATGATTCAGAGGCATGCGATACACCACAAACGAGCAGATAAGGCATCAAGCCCCGACATGGACAATCACCCAAACTCTCCGTGTGGTCCTAAATTTCGATTTAAAGCTTTCGTGACTGCAGGGATTCATCTTCTTGGTTCTTTCGGTAAAGTCACGAAAGAACCAAGAAGATCGTCCTACATTGTTGATGCCTCCCCCTCCCCTCTTCCCGTGCGCCCGCTGGCTGGGCGTGAGCAGCACCTCTACAGCCTGGTGCACCTGGACTTGTCCCACAACCGTGTGGGAGCGTGCGTGCGTCTGCACGGCACCCTGGGTAACGTGCGCACGCTCAGCCTCGCCGGCAACGCCTTGCGCAACCTCGCCGGCCTCGCCAAGCTCTACTCCCTCGCAGCGCTCGACCTGTCCCACAACGGCGTCGAGCAGGTGACCGAGCCCCGGCATAGGAATGTGGAATTTGTTTGGCGATTTTTTTTTTGTTTGTTTGTTACGTTACCCAAAGGGAGATTTGATGGGCCCGCCAGGGATGTTTTTTGCTAAACCCGGAGCAGTAGGAGTAGTAGTTGGGGGAGAGCCACGTGAGTTGCTTGGGGTGGCGACGACGCAAAATCCCCGTACAGATGGGATACGGATGGAAATCAACCCCCCACCCACTTGCTGCGCTGCCACACGCTTGCAAGGCGCGACACGGCGACCGAGGCACCCGCGCCACGGGGAAGTGGGGAGGGAGTTTCACGAATGTGCGCGGGTGATCAACCAACCCACGCTGCCTCCACATCGCACCAGAGGTCGCAACCGGGTACCCGATACCCGTACCCTACCTGATACCCGGCTACCCATACCCGGCCGGGTACGGGTACCCGTTTGAGACCCTGGTGCGGCCGGGTACGGGTACGGGTAAACCGTGAGTCACTGGTGAGTAACCGTTTGTCACTCATTTCCCAATGTCTTGTCTCTTCTCACAATTCAAGTTCCTAGAATCAACCCACCCACGCCTGCAACATGGCTTCATCCCAGAGGTCGCAATCAGGTACCCGATACCCGTATCCTACCCGTACCCGGCCGGGTACGGGTAGGGTACGGGTACCCGTTTGCGACCCTGGTGCGGCCGGGTACGGGTAAGGAATCAAAACCCGTTTGCGACCTCCGCATCGCACGCAGCAGCGGCCAGAGCGCCCGCTGGTGGTGCTGCATCGCTGCACGTGTCCTGTAAGCCGGCATGTGTCCTGTAAGCCGGCACGTGTCCTGTAAGCCGGCACGTGTCCTGTAAGCCGGCACGTGTCCTGTAAGCCGGCACTGTGGAGGAGTCAGGTGGTCGGTGGACCGCGCACAGACTCATGAAACTCCCTCCCTACCCCCGTGGGCGTTTAGGTCGCCATCTTCCCAGCTTGCCGGAATGTGGCAGTACAGCAAGTGGGTTGATTTCTGTCTGTTTTGCTGCTGTACAGGGATTGAGTGTTACCCTCCCCTATAGCACCTGTGGGTTTTCTCCGGGAACTTCGCTGTCCTCCCAGATGTGTAAGCACTCGTCACGAATAGAGTGGGCCAAACAACCCGACGAAGGACCACAGAGCTCAGGCAATGACGACGTAGACGATGACGACGTAGACGTTTATGACGATAACGACGACGATGACGACGACGATGATGACGATGACGACGACGACGACGATGATGATGACGACGATGACGACGATGACGACGACGACGATGATGACTGACGACGATGATGATGCTGATGATGATGACAATAATGCTGATGACGACGACGATGACGACGACGATGATGACGATGTCGATGATGATGACGACGACGACGGCGCGGGTGGGCGGGCAAGTGGGCGGGCAAGTGGGCAGGTGGATGGCCGGGCGGGCGGGCAAGTGGGCAGGGTGTGGGCAGGTGGACGAGGGCGTCCGAGTGTGCGGGGCAGACGATGGAGGATGCGATGTGGAACTCTGTCTCACGGCCAGCGGTGGCGGCGCGTTGCAGATGGAGGAGGTGCGGCACGTCGCCCGGCTGCCCTGCCTGGAGCGGCTGTCGCTCAGCGGCAACCCGGTGTGCATCACAACGGACTACCGCACGCGGACCCTCGCGCTCGCCGGGGACCGCGCAGCTGAGGTCAGGGGTCAGGGCTCATTGCCGTTGTCCACTTTTAAATGTTGATGAAAATTTTCGTAGTTTTCTTTAGAACTGATTTTTGTGTTTCGTTTGCTGTCCTATCGCCCGCATCCTCCAATTAGCACGGTTGGCTACGTACGTACATCGCTCGTGCCACCATCGTCAGTGTTATCGTTACCACCACTATTACCGCCTCCAACACTATCATTATCGTTAGCACCACCCCCACCAGTTATAACCACTATTACCATTACTACCAACACCATTACTGCTGCACCTCCGATGAGCACGGTTGGCTACGAACGGTGCGAAAGAAGTTCAACATCCATACCACCAGCACCACCGCGATCACACTCACCACTGCTGCCACCGCTACCACCGACGCCACCGATGTGTGTCCCGCGCCAGGTGTGTCTCGATGGCGTGGCGCCGTCGCGCAAGGAGCTGGACACGGTGGAGGTCCTCAAGGCGCTGCAGAAGTCTCGCGACGCTTGCCGGCGCGGCGCCACCCCCACGGCCGCCGTGCCGGCCCACGCCGCTCCGCACGCCCCGGGGGCCCCCCACTCGGCCCCCTCCAGCGCGGACTCCTCTATTGCGGACCCCTCCGACAGGGGCAGCTATAAGAGGGGCTCCTCCAACAGGGACCCCCCCAAGACTCCCGACGCGTACAACCACAGGGCGAGCAACGCCAACGCCAACAACTCCACCGCGGGGGCGGACTCGGGCAAGGCGGCCGGTCCCGGGACGGGCGGCTCGTTGACGGACGATCGCAAAGCCGCGGTCGGCACGGGCGACCTCGCCCACCCTGCCTCGTGTCCACCCCGAAGCTCCTTCCCCGCCCAAGGCCGCCGTGATGCCGCCACCGTCGGCGTCGACGCCGCCGATGCCACGGACGCTGCCTCCCGGTGGCTGCACTCCGCTGCCCCCGATGTGCCTGCTGCTGCCCTTGCCGCCGCCGACTCTGCCCTGTGCGATGTCTACGCTGCCCCGTGCGGCGGCGTCGCTCGCGTCGCTCACGCCGCACCACCGGCCGCTGCTGCCCCCTGCCCTGCCCCGGGCAGCACCGACGGCGCCGTGACGTCGGTCGGCTCAGCCGGGAGCTGCTCAGGTGGGTGGGAGCGCATTCGCTAACCGGTTGCGCTTGTGATCGTGGTGGCGGCGGCGGCGATACTGATTGCGATAGTCGCGATGGCATCAATAGTAGTAATAGTGGCGGTTGGCAATAGTGGTGATGGTGGTGGTGTTATTTGTGGTGTTGGTGGTGACGCTGGCAGTTGTGGATGTGATAATGGTGCATGGTTGTGGTGACGTCGGTAACAGTCATATTGCTTGTTGGTGGTGGTGATACTGATAACGGTGGTGTTATATTTATTTATCTCATTTAATCAACGACCCAAAATGCCAAGCGGCTATTAGCGTTGTAACAGATATTTGAGCTTAAAGGCAGCCGCGGTGGTGTTGATGGCGCTGCTGCTGCTGCTGGTGCTGCTGCTGCTGGTAACCTTTACGCCGGAACCAGGCCCTTCGCGGCCAGAATGTTGACGGCGCGTTGTCCCCGCCGAGAGCGGGCGTCCTGTTTACTCTCCGCTCACACTTCCTCCTCTTGTTTGCCACCCTCTGGAAGGCCCCCCCCCCCCCCCCGACGACTCGTCAGGAGCTGTCATCGGAAACTCATTCCTCGGCTAATTTTCTGATTTGTAATCACGTGAAAGCGGCAACAATAGCTGCTTCAGGCCACCGGAGTTCACAATGGCCGTATCGGAGATGCTGAGTGGGCACTGCCGAGATCCAGGGATTGGGTGCAGGGCTTTTGGCGGCCCCAAACTAAGGCGATTAAACCGGCTTGCCCAGCGTAGTGGGTCCGTGGTCCCACCTTGTGTGCGTACGCCAATCAAACTGGAAAACGTTGAATTCTCTGTTGTGCTGAAGTTGAGCTGAAATTAGTGAAATAAAAAAAAATTATTTTATAATTTTATCGTTGAGTTTTTTAGTTGTTGTTGTTCCGTCATTAGTGAGCGGGGCCGAAACCGTCAACGTAGCTCGTTTGGTCGGTACCGCCTGGGATGACAAACGATACCAGCATCGACCGTGAGCCGTGATCCACCACGGCAGTGTCCACCATAGGCAGTGTCCACCACAGGCAGTGTCCACTACGCCTGATGAAGCTAGCTCTAATTACTGGCGAAATGTCGTTTTCAGATTGTAAATGTTGTGGCTTGGCTTTCTAACACACCGGTGTGCTGTACTAGTACACTACACTATACACTACACTATACACTAGCTATACCATTACACTACTATACACTACACTATTATACACTACACTATACACTACTATACACTACACTACTATACACTACACTATACACTACCATACCATTACACTACTATACACTACACTATTATACACTACACTATACACTACTATACACTACACTACTATACACTACACTATACACTACTATACCATTACACTACTATACACTACACTATACATTACTATACCACTACACTACACTATAAATTAGCGCTGTACTAGTGACAAATTGGCCACGTTCTGTTTACGTGACAACCCTTACTAGTTGGCTGTGTCGGGTGGTGGCGGGTTTAACGACACATTTATATATTTACGCGATGTAACCCAACAAAAAACCTCTATTATGCATGAGTACTTCCTAAATACTCATTTGAGAAGGAAATCACTTGGACTTTGTTTTAACGACTCTACACTGCAGGTCACAATAACACCCGCTCACTCAAGCGAACAACTCCCTCACTCCCTTACTAACCCGCTCACTCGCCCAACCACTCGCCCAACCACTCGCCCACTCGCCCAACCACTCGCTCACTCGCCCAACCACTCGCTCACTCGCCCAACCACTCGCCCAACCACTCGCTCACTCGCCCAACCACTCGCCACTCGCCCAACCACTCGCCCACTCGCCCAACCACTCGCCCACTCGCCCAACCACTCGCTCACTCGCCCAACCACTCGCTCACTCGCCCAACCACTCGCCCAACCACTCGCTCACTCGCCCAACCACTCGCTCACTCGCCCAACCACTCGCCCAACCACTCGCCCACTCGCCCAACCACTCGCTCACTCGCCCAACCACTCGCTCACTCGCCCAACCACTCGCTCACTCGCCCAACCACTCGCCCAACCACTCGCTCACTCGCCCAACCACTCGCTCAGTCGCCCAACCACTCGCCCAACCACTCGCCCACTCACCCAACCACTTGCCCACTCGCCCAACCACTCGCTCACTCGCCCAACCACTTGCCCACTCGCCCAACCACTCGCCCACTCACCACACCACAAGTCACTTCTCTCTCTGCTTCTCCCCTCGCACTGCCCCGCTCTGGAATCCACCTCCTCCCACCACCACCGTCGTCATCGCCATCATCTCTTCTTCCCCCAAGCTCTTACAGCAACGATAACCTCGCTCAGTCCAAGACACGTGTTGTCTGTTGAAACTTCAACTGTGCTGTTTGTTGCTGGCTGCTTGGCAACTTGGACCTTTTTGGGGGCACTGCGCCCACCAACCGTGATTGCTTTATGAGACCAAGTAATCTCCACGGTGCTGGTTGTCACGTGATGCAAAAGAGGAATTCGCGACAAAAACGGATATCAATTTTTTGTTCAGATCTGGTCAGCACGCCGCCCGACGACTTCCCTGGCTGCCCTGCCCCTCGCTGCCCTGCCCAGCCCAGCCCTGCCCAGTCCTGCCCATCGTACCTGCTGCCCCTGCCAGAGCCTCTTGCTATGATGGTTGCCCTCACGGGTCCCCAGCTGGACGTCTACTTCCGCACACACCTGGCGCAGGTGAGGGGCACTGCACTTCCCCCGCCACCTCTGCCCCCCCTTGCCCATCCCCCTGCCACCCCAAACCAGAGGTCGCAACCGGGTACCCGATACCCGTACCCTACCCGATACCCGACTACCCGTACCCG